CCCGCCTGTCCCCGTCCGCTCCGCTCGGACGGTCCTCCCCTGCGCCCGCCTGTCCCCGTCCGCTCCGCTCGGCCGGTCCTCCCCTGCGCCCGCCTGTCCCCGTCCGCTCCGCTCGGCCGGTCCTCCCCTGCGCCCGCCTGGCCCCGTCCGCTCCGCTCCGCCGGTCCTCCCCGGCGCCCGCCTGGCCCCAGCCCCCGTCTCCTTTGCTCGGACGCCGCCCTCACTCCCCGGCTCCCACCTCCTGCCCCTGCGCTCCTCTCACTGCGCGGGGGCTGCCTGCACCCCAGGGGCCGCCGCCTCCCACCGAGCACAGCCCGGGCAGGTGTTTTCGCGGTGCCCCTTCCACACGCGGGGAAACTGAGGCTGGGGTGGGGTGAGCCATGAATGAATCCGGCTGTGGCTGTACACAGCCATCCTAAAAACATTCACACACACCACCACCACCCCCAGCCAGATCAGGGTATGGAAATACAGAAATACCACTGGATTCTGATGGGGAAATCCGGAGAGCAAATGATGTGTTACGGGAATTGCGAGTAAAGAGCTGTGAGAGGACAGAGGAGAGGGGAACATTTCGCAAAGGCCTGGACAGCTGAGCCATCTTAAGGGATGAGTAGAATTTTTGACCTCAGGTGAAGCCGGTAAAGGCCATTAGGGTCAGTGCCCCGCGAATCTAGGACCTATAGAACCTAAATCTCAAAGGTCCTGGGTCCCTGCTCCACACAACATACCCGTGGTCCCTTAAGCAAACAAAAATATTATCATTCCTATATCCTGCTAGGCTATTTATTCTTTTTCCTTCTTTCCCAGGCACCGTTCATTTATTCGTTTAACAAATATAGGATGTCCAAAAAAGTGTACACACACACTTTGAATAATTATAAAGGCGGTGTTTAATAAAATATGGTTTATTTTCACAATTGAGCCATCAGCTGTTAAAGTGTGTATACATTTTGGGGGGAATATCCTGTATTTAGCACCTCTGTTATTGTGCTGAGGACACAGAGAAATAGCAGAACCAACCCTGGACTCACAGCGGGAGACCGGGATGTAGACAAATAACCACAATAAAGCGCTATCAGGATAGCTGGGGGTTGTGAAATGAGCAATGGCAACTCTGAGGAGGGAGCTCATCCCATGTCTAGGTTTTCCTGGTTCATATGCTGAGTAATTTTGGATTAAGTACTAGACGTTTTGAATATTGTAAGTATCTAGATCTTGTTTAAATTTTATGGAGAATCGTAATATTTTTTATTTTAGCATGCGGTTGACTCAGTTGGATTCAGAAACCCTAACCTGCCTTCTGTGGTTGTGATTCCAATGTCAGTTCAGTCTTTAAAGCTTCTCAATGCTATACAGATCCATCCCAGTTGTGCACCAGCCAGTGGCCAACCTTGGATCTGGACAGGGGTCTACCCCATATCTCAGCACGAAAATGTATTATACGCTTTTTAGCATCAGATCCATGCATACACAGCTCAGGAGTGAGGCCAGGAATTACGGGGTTGCTCTCCTGAACTTATTTCCTCTCTGTGATCTCTCTGATATTTTCTAATCCTCTCAAACTCCCATTTTTGGTCCTCTTGCCAAAAACCCGAGGCTTCAGTTATTCTACTCTGCTGTGTATTTCTCAAGATTGCATGCATCTAGGGCCAAGTGGCAGGAAAACAGAGGGAGAAAAAAATCAGACCACCACTGCTCCCCTCCCCTCCCCCGCAAGTTGGGATTGCTGAAAGCAAAAATTACAGCATTACTGGTATTTGATATGGTTTCAATGTATGTAAATGTAATACATAAGATAACCCATAGACCCTCACTACCACCATTGCCTGGGGGAAAGGTGCAAGAGAACAGAGGACAAGACAGGAAAACATGGTGTGTCCCTCCACCTCATGTGAAGAGTCCTCTTTCCCTCTCCCTGAGCCAGAGCTAGAGGCCTTCTCCGGTAGGATTCCCAATCCTCACCTTGGTGTTGGGACTACTGAGGAACAAAAAAGGGGAAAGTCACTGCCAATTCAGTGGTGCTTAAATTCTGGTCTTTCCCCCAATCTACCTGCTATCATTTACTTTTGAGACTACTTAAATGCCTGCTCCATGCATTCTGCCCAAGTTTTATAGCTTCATTCAGTGGGTAAGATATTTCCCCACAATTCGAACTTCCTACATTATGGTATTTTAATTCTGCGTCAGAGAGGAATTTTTGAAGTCACTCTAAGTAACAACAGGATTCCAAGTTTAACTAAAACCTAACTAAAATGTAACTAAATTATGCTATAAGTGCAAATAATTATGTGACAATAGAATAGATATTTTTTCAAACATGGCTAAGTTTCTGAGGGCTCAATGTATGTTCCTGTTTGGTATTTAGCAGAGTTTTTTTTACCTGTATTATTAGACAATCACTATTTCTGAATACTATATTATTATTATATATGGTATAATAACTTTGAATAAATGTTACTATCATTAGGCTTTTCATGCAAAAATGAAAAGAAAATATAAGTAGAAATAATAAGGGTCAAGAAAAAGATCAAGATTTTCAAATAAATATAAAGGCAGGAAAGAAGACAGGCTTTTCCAGAATAATGAACATCCTTGGCCTCATGCAATGGCAATCTCCCTGCTCGCTCTACCCCAGCCAGGCTGGCTTTTGGCCTTTTCATTTCCTGTGCCTGCCAAGCTCTGTCCTGATTCATGTGTAATTTCTGACTAACTCCTACTCATCCTTTGAGTCATTTCCTCGAGGATCTTTTATTTGTCTGCAGACTAGGTTTGAATCCCCACATTATTTAAAACACCTCCTATATTTTCTCTTGGTAGCATTTATTACAGTTATACTTTTTTTTCTATAATTAATGGTTATCTGCCCCACTAGATCACAAGTGTTATGTAGTCAGGACTGCCTGGCAACAGTAAGTACTGTTGGGATTGTCATTATTAAAAAATAGAATAATGGCCCGGCCAGCATAGCACAGTGGTTGAGCATTGACCTATGAACCAGGAGGTCACAGTTCCATTCCCAGTCAGGGCACATGCCCGGGTTACAGGCTCAATCCCCAGTGTGGAGTGTGCAGGAGGCACCCGATCCATGATTCTCTCTCATCATTGATGTTTCTATCTCTCCCTCTCCGTTGTTCTCTGAAATCAATAAAAAAAAAAACATATTTGAAAAAAAAGAATAATGGAGTTGAAAGAGCATTCAAAACTATCCCATGAATCAAGGGTCCTCTATGTGCTTGTCCTTTGCTGAATCTTTTATAGTATCTATCGCCTTTCCCTCAGAATAAGCCTAAGAGGGATGCATTTTTCTTCTGCATTTTACTGTTGAGAAATCTGAAGTTAAGTGATTCGGCTGCAAGGTGGTAAACATTGAACCCGGGTCTCCAGCTCCCCGTTGAGTGCTTTTCCATTGCATCATTACTTCAGGTTGCTTGTTATCAGTTCCCGGGCCACATTCAAGGAGAGTTTCTGGGGACTCACTTCTGCTCACTTCTCCTGAGTTTCCTCCTCTATATATTCAGAAAGGATTTAATCAATGGGTCCATGTTCCTAAAAGTGTGGTCCACAGTCCATCAGCATCAGAATTGGAGGGAAGAATGGATGTTATTAGGAAAAATTCAGATCCCAGAGCCCCACAGACTCACTGAATCAAAATATAGGTAAAGGGGAGACAAGGTCCAGGAATAAGCATTTTACCAGACTCTGAGGTGATTCTTACGCATGCCTAAGTTGAGAATACTTAGGTGTTTTTCTCCCAAAGTTCCCTCCAGCTTTGATAGTCTTTGCTTCTAAGACATTAATTTTGGAGGGTATGTCTTTGCATCTCTGTCATATTGTAGAGAGTCTGGAACTCAATATGTTTTTAGTGACTGAATATATTTGAATTTGGAAGACAGATTCAAGTCCTTGCTTTACCAACTGTCATTCCTTGGGAAAAATAGCTCTTTGACCCTTAGAGTTACCACCTTTAAGATGAAAATAATAATGACAATCCCTATTTTAGCTCCCAACAGTTGATGTGGAATATAAGTTAAATCATGTTTTGAAAGCTCTTGATTCCAATTTGAAGATGATTTCAAGTTGAAGAATCACTGCAGGTATACAGTGAACACCAACAGGAATTACTTCAGTCCTTCAAATTCACGGATGGCTCATCTATAGCTCTCTCAAGTGGACTGAATAGGGAGCTTATTAAAACACAAAACAAAATAACCACCACATTTGGAAAACACCACATTTGAAAATCACATTTCTACTCAAAGTAGGTAGGGTCTTTTCAGCAAAAAAACATGATTTTTTATTAGGAGAAATCTGAGGCATTCCAATAACGCCCCCTGGTGGAACGTAGAAGACAATGCAAATCTACCATTCCTGTCACATATTTGCTGATTGCTTAGCAGAGAGATTATCAATGTATGTATCTGTTCTCCACCTGGACTAGGAGCTTTTTGCGGAGGTTCCTTTTGTCTCCAGAGCCTAGCAGTTATTTGTGCCTGCGTTCATCGACCGCTAGTGAGCGTCCGTGGTGCTGGGGGCTGTGCTTGGCACCTGGGGACACAGCAGAGGAACCAGATGGTCCCTGACCTTAGAACCCTTAAGTCTAGTAGTGGAGACAGACAAACAAGTACCCAGTAACAACAGTTATGCCTGCCATGTAGCAGGAGGTGCAGGGAACTATGGAAGCCACTTTCTTTGTGCAAAACCCAATGATCAGTTTTGAGAAAAAGAATGGCAAAAATGAGGCACAAAATATAAACAGGAGCCAGATGGAGTTTGGATTTTAGTCCAAGGTCAATGCAAAGCAACTGAACAGTTTTAAGCAGAGGAATGATGTGGTTAGATTTTTGTTCTTTAAAAATCGTTCTGACTATGGGTAGAACCGACTGGAGGAAGCGAGACCAGAGTTAGAAAGGCCAGTTAGGAAGCTGCTGCATAGGCCAGGTGATGAATAAATGTTTGGTTAGGCTCAGTACACAGGGAGTTTAAAATGTACTGGTAAAGTTCCATGTCTTTTCCTGGGTGAAGTGCAGAAGTGTTTTATTTTTTATATCTTACATTACACAAATCCTGCCCTTGCTCCATGCCCACAGGGGAATAAATCCCTTCTACCTCCTCCCCACGCCAGCTTTCCTTATTTAGCCTCAGGTCAGTCCTTCCCACCCCCTTCAGTTTATCCTAGGACTTTGCTGCAGCCCAAGTCTGGCCGGAAGCCCTCTACTCTAGCCAGACTCAAGTACTCCTGCTTCCCAGTCTTCACTCATATATTTCCTTCACTTTGAGTTGACTTCATTTTGGGGGAAGTGCTCATAGTGGGGGGAAGTGCTGTGACAGGTCGGCAAAGGGAGCAATGGCAGCAGAGTGTGGGGACTCTTGCCCGGCTTGGTTGGTGGGGTGGGGGTAGGGAGACAGGCAGGAAAGGCTTTTTGGAAGGGATGATGCCTGAGTTGAGGGTTAGAGGAGGAGCTGTTTGCAAAGTGAAGAGGTGTCAAGGCTGCAGGCTGGGCCCCTCCCTGCCACGTCTGTTGTGCCAGGTAGAAATCCCACCTTTCGCTGCTCTGGGCTGGTACCTGCGTATCTAGAGCACATGTTAATTCTGGACCTAGCTCTTTGAAAACTGTCCATGGGGTGATCAGGAAGGTGAAGGGAACCAAAAACGGGCCATACAAGGACAGTAGCTGAATTATGCATATTTAGCCTGAGGGGACACTTTTTTGGGTGAAAGGAAATGAACTTTTGTGTAACAGTGAGTTTCCAAGTGTAACCAAAGGGCAGAAGCTACTGGAGGCGGATTTCAGCTGAACACAAGAAAGAACTCCCTATTGGTCTTTCTTTAAAAGAGAGTAACTTGTCTTGGCAGGTTGTCACTAGAGAGGCTCAAATATAACCCCATTTGGTGGCATATTATAGAAAATTATGAGAGTTGGACAAGATGACCTTTAAGCTTCTTTCCAGGGCTGGATTTTCTCATACCACCTCCCCCACTCTCACCATCGTCTCTCAGAGACCTTCTGCTTAAACGTTTTCGTGACCTTCATCACCTGCTGATTCAAGACCATGCTTTATAGCATAGCACACAGGAACCTCCCTCTCCCACATCTCCACTCACATCCCTACCCCAAACGAAGCAATAGCAAACCACTTAACGGTGCTCTGCACACTCATGCTGCGCTCTGTGCTGAAGATGCCCTCCCCTCTTCCTTTGCCTGGGCTTTTATTCTCTGATACTTTCTCCAACACTCTGTTCCCGCACTGCAGTGGATGTTTGTCACCTCTTGTATGCACCTTAATTTCCAACTGGTAAATTAATTCTGTGTTTTGATACAAGGGTAACTGCAGGGGCCTGCCTCCCACTACCATTCGGAAGGAAGTTGAGGGAGTCAAATACTTCCCTATCAGTCTCTAGTTCCAGCTAGGAGGCAGGCAGGTGACAACAGACCAGCCAACTGGGCCTTCTCTCCAGGTGTTTTGAATACAAAGATGATTTGTCTGGTGGTGCAGGGGCAGGTAGAAAGGTGTCCTGAACAGGCTGTTCCAGCAATAACATGGTTGCTGTCTCTCTTTTTCTATCCCTGATACCTATGCATTTCTAGACCAATTAATATTTATAAAGTGAATGAATGAAGTAGTACAGGGGTAAAGGTCAAAGACTAAATTTAAAGCAAATTACATGCACGACTGGAACATTTAATGATCAGAACCAGAGGTAAAGAAAGGGAAATAAAGATAAATGATCCTACCACTAAAAGAAATGAGGAAGAATGGTAAATTTTATTGTAATTCCCTCCTCCAACATAACTCCATTTATATACACACCAACTCTTCTCCATTGGGGATGACAACAGTTCTATTATTTTAGGCTGAGTTAGCTTCCTGGTCCCTGTTTAGTTGGGCCTCAGGCCAGGGGCCTTGCCTTTACCCTCCGAGATTGTTAAAGAACTTGTCAAATAGCACACATCCAGGAGAATTGAAAGATGACTCGGAGACTTCAAGATATGAAGCCACTAAGAAAAGGCTGGAAGAGAATGCTGAACTCTTTGAACTTCATGAATTTCAGCATGAAGTGGGTAGAGATGACCTGAGGCAGCAAGAAGTAGGCCATGCCTAGATGATACTTTATTGGGTTTATAAATCTTAAAGCTGGTGCTATCACTACTGCATATTTCTCATCATGTGCAGCTCTGTGCATGTGCAGAATCAATAATTTAGTGTTTTTCTTCAGCAGGTAGAAACATGAATTCATTCATTCAATAAATATAAGGTGTCCCCCCAAAAAATGTACATACACTTTAACAGCTGATAACTCAATTTTCACTCCTTTTCAGGTTTAACTGATTTGAAATAATAAATGGGTGAAGCTGGACTAAGCTTTGAACAAAGAAAATTTATCCTAAAGTGCCACTACACTTTTTTTATGGGGACACATAAGAGATAAAGTTTATGGTACAAAACCAGGGATAGTCGATGAATTGAGGGTGCACAAATACTGAACGAAATGATTCTCGATGTTTGCAATTCCATTGCTTGGCGTTCTCAGCAGTGCCCGATCCAGAACAATCATCAGTTTGAAAACAGTCATTGACAAAAAATTATTCATTTCTGTAGATTCGTTTAAATTTTGAAAATGAACTGTTTGTTAATAAACACTGACTTTATAATCATTCAAAGTGTGTACACATTTTTTGGGACACCCTGTATTTACTGGGCACCTACTCTGTGTCATGCTTTGTTGTAGGCAGTATTACAGTAGTGAAAAAGCTACACTCATGGAGACCATGGAGACAAATTAATACTACTTAATTTATTTGTTCACTTGATCATGTGCTATGAACAATATTATATAAGCACATGCTAACAACATGGACAGACAAATGAGGTCAACTGAAGGAGAGAAAGAGAAAAATAAGATGGACAAAACTTTAATATTAATTATTTTTTCTGGGACTTCTGATAAACCAATCAAAAAATATTTATTGGATAATGAGCTAGAATATTTATGTAGGCTCAAAGTGGATTCTAGGATGTGTCACACATATTTTAAAAATGTATTCGGCTTGGATAGCAAACTTTATGAACTACACAGTAAGATATAAAAATTACACAGAAATTCATGCTTAAAAAAAGACCTGTTTATTACTGACAACACTTCATTTGGCTAAAACCACAAGAAATCCACAACACAAATACTTAAAGTGCAAATTCTCAGTATTTAACACCCTGGTGTTTTCTTGGGGGAGGGGGAATGGGAAGATATTGACAGAAACTGTTAAAACAAGGGCATAATTTTGAACTACTGCTACACAGAAAAATAATTCATTCTTAACTGCACACAATTTATCTGGCATAGTCAATGATGTATACAAGGAGTTTATCTTAGCCCAAAACAAGAAGGCCTCACCATATATAGATGTGGGCTCTGGAGTGGCTCTTGTCAGATAGATGCTGAATCATAACACTTGAACAAAAATATACCAAATAACACCAAATTAGTTGTGACTCCCTTGGACGGTAGCACTAGCAGGCTCAAAATGGCACTTGTATTCGTGATGCTAAGTCTACATAGACACTTTCTTAGTCTTCTTGGCCAATACCTTACTTTGAGTGTAAAATACTAGGCATTATACACCATTTCCAAATAAGAATATGCTCTGCTTTTTCCAAAGAAACTGAGTATTTAAGGATGTGTGTGCTTAATAAACATTACTTATAAATTTTAGTGGTGAGAATTAATATTTTTATTATCAAACTATTTGCTTCTTTAAAATAAAATCCCTTAATTACTATTATCACCAATTAAGCACTCCATAACAGGTACTATATACTAGGTGGTGTGGATATGAAAAATAATAAATGCAGCTGATAGTCAAGAAAGATCGTAGTCAAGGAATGCCAATAAATTAAAGAGAACAAGTGGCCAATACCTCTAACTATAAGGTTCGTTGGTAACATAACTGCTCCAGTCAGTTTCACCTGTCATCAGTACTTTCAAAGGTCAGCTACTGAGGAGCAGGAAATATCCTATGTTCTATGTTTCTATGTCTCACACCCGAGTCAGTGTGTGTACGCCCAGGGATAGGAGGCAATTGGAGGGGGTTTTGGAGGAGAAAACGGAGAGGCCACGTGATAAACACGGTGCTCCTTTCTGGCGGCACCAGTTTTGGTGAAGATTGAAGGAGTCGTTTTTATAGCAACACAGTTTTATTATGGAGAATGCAAAACCCGCTTACATTTCTGAGGCAGGACATGAACTTCATGAGGGGTCGGCTGCTTCTGATTTTGCTCTCAGACCCCTTCCCTGCACATTCTGCTTTAGGGTCGTGCTGATGGAGAAATCTGAGAAGCAAACTTTAGCTAGGTCACTTTGCCCTTGGTCGCTTTACTCATTCTTTATGTTCTCTCTTTTAAGTACATAGTCTTTAACAAATAAAGAGAAAAGCTGGCTTGATGAATATAACAGGATGATGAATATCTTAAGGTAACCAATAGTCACCACTAACTTTGTTTCCAACTAGAACTCAAGTCATGCTGTGTCCTGAGACAATGACAGATACTCTTCTTTTTACTTAGACTCCTTATGGCTTATGGTAAGAGGCTTTGAGACACAAATATTTAAAAATAATTTCCTCAAATCTTGTGCTTTGGATACCCAAAATACAAGGAAACTGAAAATAATATACCAGATTAATTGACCATTCATTTTGGTTAGTATGACTCTTTCCTCATCAGTTTCTAGAGCAATCTCAATAAACAAGTGAATTGTAAAAAGCCATTAATAATTTAACATATAGTATCCAGGTAGACCACAAAAAGTTATGAAATAGATTTAAAGTTACTTCTTACAATGTCTTCTCACAATAACAAAATACTCAAAAGTCCATAAACCAACTTAGTTTATGAATAAGTTTAAAGCATTCTGAAAGATACAGTTAAAGATTTCTTATCAGTGAGGTAACAGGGCAGTAGCATTTCACAGTAACAAAATGTGGGAGGAAAGAGGGAGGTAGAGAAAAAAAAAGACATAAAATTAAATTTATCCAAGCAGAATCATGAACAACAGGAAAGATCTGAAGGAAATACCAATAGCAGCAGCTCACAGAACAATTCCTCCATTAAACTCCATATCTTTGTTGCATCAATTCTAGAAGCAATCTGCTTAAGAAACAGAAGTTCTATTTCATATATAGAGATATTCCAAAGTGTCCAATCTCTTAGAAACTCTCTGCTAAAGTTACTACATCCAAATAACAATACTGTAAACTTAAAACAAACCCCTCAAATACCCTATAACGCTATACATTCTTCAAGATGAACAAAATTGTGTTCAAGTCTCACTTAATTTGCCAGATTAAATTAAAAATAACATCTAAGTAGGTCTTATTCACTGTACTCATGCATCTACTACTCAACAAATTTATCTTATGAGCTAAATTCTTATTGATATGGAGTGAAATTCAAATGTTACTTTCAGTGCTCTTTATGACATCTTTGTTCCAACCTGAGTTAAAAAAAAAAAGGTTTAGAAGGAACCTGTAAAAGCCATTTAGCATATCCTATAATATTTAAATTTTTGTTCTCTTAAAAATAAAAATCAAATTGAAGGCTTCGTAACAATTCCTGCCCAAGTTTTTAAATCGTAAACTATTCATATTGTCTTTTTTTTTCTTTTTTCTTAAAGACCCTTATTCCCTCCTATTTTATCCTTCCTGGAGATGGAGAACAGTTTATTTTATTCCTTCTTAAGTTGTTCAATAAAAAACTCAATAACTTATGATTTATTAAACTATCTCAACAGCTTTCTCCTCTCCAGAATTAAATGATCTTATTTTTTTTAAACTTTTTCCTCAGAGGTCCTATTTTTCCAATCTATATTTTATTCCTTTTCATTTCTGCTATATCCCCTCCCCAGTTCCCATATGTTCCTAAGAAACAGCCTTCTCTCAGAAACTGATCAGTAAGAGGGGTTCTTTTTCTCAGGCCTTAAAACATGGCCTCTTTAGTGGTCACCAATAAAAGAAAACAAAGGTTCACTACTCATTCATCATCACAACAAATAAACACA